AGTGGTGTTAGCTATGATGGAATAACAGTGTTTAAAGCTTATGTATTTAAAGAAAATAGTTGGTTAGAGCTTGACCATGGTCGTTACAATAAGTCACATAAAAGTTATTGAGAAATTAAATTAAAGTTTTTTTTTATATAAAAGCTTATGATGTAAAAAAATAAACACCATCATAATTACTTTTTTTGTGCAAATTTGAGCTTATAACAGTTAATGCTTCCCATGACGTGGGTTTTAACCATTTGTCCTTTTTTATTTATATTAGGCCCTGATCTTTTTTGGAGAGACCTTCTTGTGTATGAATTGGCCTGTTGTAGCTGATATACTACTGGTAAAACGTTGTTAATCTTTGAATTAAAGTTAAAAATTCTTACAGGTTGTTGATGCGCCAAGTTTTTAAAAGCTTTTGTCTTTTGAATCTTCAAATCAAATTAGATCATTTTTAATTTCGTTACCTTCAGAGTCCTTCATATCTTTATCTGAAATTTAATTTTTAAGTATTAAAATTAATATAATTATTATTCTTGGAAAACTTTTTTTTGGAAATTTGGACTGAATGACATTTTTAGTTGTAAGTTTTAGGGGAATTCAGTGAAGTAAATCTCTATAAAAATGGAATATATTGCAGTTAATGATTAAACAGTAAGATAATTTTAATCCAGCAAGTACTGAAAATAATCTTTAGTGATTGTCGTGCATATGGTACTTGAAATTATATTTATCCAATAAACTAGAAACACAGAGAAATTAGGAGTTACCAAAGTATTTATAGGACAATTACACAAGTGAGGGGATTACTGAGCCTTGTGGGACCAGTTAAGAGTTTTTATTGATAATTTTTATTTAAAACTGTTTACCATTTAGAGCTCTTTCTATTTGTCTCTATATGGCTGGACTTTATACTAGGGGACATTCTGAGCTTCCGATTGGTCATTCATGTCATACATAGAAGTAAGTGTATATAAGGGAGCATTTCCAAAAATGGAAAGAGGTGAGCAGAGTGCCACTGTGTTTGATTTATTACAAAATTACATTACAAATTGTTGACCTGTCATTCTGATAGACATATGTTCTGTTCTTATGATAAATTCTTTGATATGTGTTGAAATCATAATAACCCATACCACAGCAAGGACGTGTACATTAATTGACATTTACATAGTGAACATTTTTATTGCGAAGACGCCTTCGAATTTGAATAGACGTTTGAAAATGCATTTTTACTGAACTTGTGAATATGTGTGCCTTATTAATTCTACAGAGTTATTGAGTTTCACATTCTCCAATAAAAAGGAGCACAAAGCTGTTTTGGATGACAAATAAATGTACAATCAATAAAAATCTCCAAATTCTTTACATTCAAAGACCAATGATCGAAAAAGAATCCAGTATTTCTTTAAAATCACTCATTTTTCTATCCACTAAGGCTATTTTATTTGACCAAATTTCTTCTTGTTTACCCAGTATTGTGTAATACCTACTCGAAGAGCACTGGCTGGAGCTGTACAGATACTGGCATCTCACATGTTTGGAGATGCTTCTTCTCCATACATCATAGGAGCAGTAAGTTTCAGTTTTCTTGCATATTAAAAATATTCAAATTCATGACTTTATTTTAAAACATATAATTATGACAACTATCGCAACAAGTGTATGATATTTGTAATACATTTTGTTTGTTAAATATGACATATATTTTAGGACATTTGTGATATAATTTGTAAGCTTATCAAGCCTATTTGATCAAGGGCTTGATATAACTAACTGATCACGGGCTTGATGTCACTATCTGATCAGGGGTTTCATAACAGTAATTTTGTAATGTCTGTTTACCATGCCATTTAAATGTGGTTTATGCGGAAAACAAGGGTATATAAATTTTTCTGTAGGTTTAGTTTCCATTTTCTTATAGATTAAAAACTAATGTCATGTTTTTTTCTTGCAACTTTAAATTTTCAAATAAAATAATGATGCCATCATACAGTAAAAATTGAAAAATTGGTAATAAGGGTTTGTGTTTTTTTACATTGTTTAGAATCCACTTAAAATCCATGAGATTGGCAGTACCCAAAACTTCAAATTCAAACATACAATAATTGTTGTATTAAAATATCTGAAAACTTAGGAACCATTGTGTATTGACAAGCTTTAGTTTTGTTTGTAGACAATAACAAATTTCTTTTTTATAAATGTCAGTTTTTGATGGGACAAATATTGTTTAAAAAATATCAAATCGCAGAGTGTTTCACCTTTACATTTCAGTTTGTTTTATATAGAAATCAATGCTCTTATTACAACATGAGGAATTACATTACCAGACAAGAATGGTAATTAATGTTCACTCCAGTTAAACTGAACTTTGACTTTCTAGGTTTCCGATGCTGTGATGAATGGTCAGTCAGAATCTAACCTACTCAAGTTCGTTAGCCTTCAGTATGCTTTGTACATCACTACTTTTGTGCTAGCCATTGGAGGGCTTTGCTTCATCGTGACAGCATGGTACATCGTAGATGATAGGGAGATGTGTGAGAGGCTTACACATGGTGAGTAGTTTTATCTTTCAGTTTTTGGTTATTGTTTTATTTTATTTATCCATTGACCTGTGATTGTAGTCAGTCTATGAAGTTTAATTAACACTGTGGTACGCTTTTAGCTGATCGTAAAAGATGGCCCCGCTAATCCATTTTGTTTATCTTATATTGTATTTTAGTAATATTGATAACCATTGCGTACTCAAATTTCCATGCGTTTGGATGAGAAGTTAAAACCAGTCTTATATATATGAGAATATTGCTGACTTACTATTATTTACTTTGTGAATTTATTTTATTCTTAATGCACTTATACTAATCTTGATTCATTCAATAGTAGGTTTAGTGTGATTACTGTACAAAATAAAAATGCTAAATTGAGGAAAACATTTATTGTGGTCGTGGTTTCACCAGTAAAGGCAGCATCAGGTTGAATCTGTTTGGGTTTCTTTTAGTGGTTATAAGGGAAGAAATCTTTCAGTTGGAATTTTTTACAGACCACGAGATGAAACTTATGAAATTAATGAAAAACTCTACAGTGAGATAAAGGATTCTGCTTTTAATGAGGTTATAGTTATGGGAGATTGTAGTTTCAAGCATATAGACTTGGATATTTTAGAGTCCAATAATGAGGGAAACAGGTTTCTTGAAACTTTTCAGGATGTTTTTCTCCAACAATTGGTTAGGAAACCTTCTATGAACAATACTATTTTAGATTTATTGTTAACTTCTAATATAGAAATGGTTGATAGGGTGGAGAATGGGGGAACAACTGGGTGCAAGTGAGCATTGTTCAGTTAAATTTGATATTTTGCCGTATGTAGAGATAAGGAATGGCAGAATTGTGGTTCCAAACTTTAAAAAATCAAATTAACTGCTGTGAATTGGGCTACTGAATTAGTTGGAGATACTGGTCAAATGTAGAAAAAATTAACAAATGAATTCTTAACTATTCAAGATAGGCATGTTCCTTACAGACAAAAAAAGAGTAGCTGTAAGTAAAAAAACCAGGTTGGCTCACAAAGAGTAGAAGAGATATAATTATAGAAAAGCATCACAAATATATGAAGTTTAAATTGACTGCAATGATGAGAGATTTGGAAGATTATAGAAGATCAAGAGAGTTCGTCAAATGAAAAATTAGGAAATCAAAAAAGTATGTAAAAAAGAGATTGGTTGAAAATGTAAAAATTAACGGTAAGGATTTCTTTTAATACATTAAGGGTAAACAAAATGTTAAGATCGGAGTAGGGACTTTGAGGAATGATGCAGGAAGGCTAATATCTGATGATTATGGGATGACTGGGTTGTTTATTTCTATTTTTTTCTTCAGGTGTTACTGATTTTTCAATCTAAACAGTTGCTAGATGGTAACAAGATTTAACAAGATGATGACATTAATTCTGAACTTGTTAAGAAAAAATTGGGAAGTTTAAAGAAATAAAGCTCCTGGACCAGATAATATTTACCTAAGTGGTTCTGACGGAGGTAAAGGATTAGATATGTAAACCACTTGCTATTACTTTTTTTCAAGTCCTTGAATAGTGGGCAGGTATCAAAAGATTAGAAGTTGGCTAATGTTACTTCCGTTTTCAAGGAGGTTGATAAAATTTGTCCTAGTAATTATAGGCTTATTAGTCTTACATCAGTGGTGGAGAAATTTTTCAAAAGTCTGATAAAAGATGCTTTACAAAGTCATTTACCAGATTTTAAAATTTTATTGGATAGTCAACATGATTTCACAAGGAGAAAATCTTATCTCACTAATCTTTTGACATTCTTTGAAGAGATTACTGCTTATGTAGTTGAGGATACAGGTTTGGATGTAGTGTATCTGGATTTTGAGATGGCATTTGACGAGGTGCCAAATAAAAGGCTTCTAAAAAAGTTATCTCTCCAGATGTGGGGGATAGTTTGGTTCGTTGAAGAAAACAGCGGGTTATTATAAATAGAGTTCAGTCAAGCTGGATTAATGTCACAAGTGGTGTACCTCAGGGCTCAGTGTTAGGTACTTTGTTCTCTTTGATTTACATCAGTGATGTAGATGAAGGAAGGGCCAATAAGTTATTTAAATTGGCTGATGTCATTAAACTTTAGGTGCTGCTGTCTGTGAGTAGGATACTACTGCTTTACAAAAGAATTTATATTATTTAGTGAGTTGGGCAAATAAATGACAGATGGCTTTTAATTATAATAAATGCAAGGTACTGCATGTGGGATATCATAATTTGAATTATAATTATAATTTGAATGGGAATAACCTTAACAGTGTTATGAAAGAAAAAAGATCTTGGTATTCTGGTTCCTCAGTCTCTTAAGCCATCCAAATAATTTGCTGTTGCTAGTGGTACAGCAAATAGGATTTTAGGTTGTATCTACAGAAATATTGAATACAAGTCTAAAGAGGTTGTAATGTTATTGTATAGGTCACTGGTTAGGCCACATTTGGAGTATTGTGTTCAGTCTTGGCCTCTTTACCTTAGAAAAGACATCAAATTTTTGAAAAGGGTTCAGAGTAGGGTTACTAGAATGGTGGCTGAGATAGAGGGGTTGTGGTGGATATAGTTAATTTATTGGAGTTTAAGGGAAAGCTCGATAAATATTTGTAACGATAAGGGCCGGCTTTGAGTTTTCTGTTTAATTCATTGGATAGAATAGCCTAGATGGACCAAAAGGTCCCTTGTTGTCCTTTAATGTTATGTTATACATTTTGTCTTTCTTCAACAGGGGAAAGTGCAACTCCATCTGTGTCCTCAGATGACAGCAGTCCTGCTGAAGGAGGGGAAGAACCTGATATGGGCATCACGGTGAATGATGTGCGAAACTTGATTGTATAGTTATTAAACAGGACGATTAGGAGTCAGTGTCAGAATTTTTAGTTCAGACATTATTGATTTCAAAATTGATCAGGTAGATGAAGAGCTTGTGTATAATAATAATTCAAAATTTGGTTGATTGCAAAAACTAGGATACTTGATAACTGAACATGCAGGGATATTAATTTATTTTACTTTGTGTCTTGTTGTGAAATTATTGCTCTCTGAACACCAAAAAAAAAATTTATATGACAGATTTTCTACACTGGTAGTGCCCGACCTCACATATCCTCTGGAGTTACGACAAAAATGTTTTGTGAGGGTACACAAGAATCTTTAAAAAAAACACAAAAAAAATTATATGACAGATTTTCTACACTGGTAGTGCCCGACCTCACATATCCTCTGGAGTTACGACAAAAATGTTTTGTGAGGGTACACAAAAGATGAAACAAGATAAACATGAAAAAGAAAATAAACCCCTGCCTCAAAATTGGAGGGCAGTCTCAGTGAGTTACCAGTGTATTCCAGTAGTGACTATTCAATGTGTATAGTTCAATCACCCCTTGAATTATTTCTTTTGATTTGCCTTTTTATTAATATTAACCACTCTTAGGTGTTTTTTTTAACAAATTATCCCAGTCAGACCTTTGAGCCAGCAGTATATCCCTGATGCAGAATAATTGGCATAAAAATTATTCCTTTTTATTTGTTTTTAAAATGGAGATGTAATAAGAAAGCTCTCTAGTCATGTTACAGGTTAATTATACTTAAACTCTATTCATTATTAATTGCCCCCCAGTGGCACAGTGGTATGTCTGCAGACTGACAATGCTAGTATCCGGGTTTCGATACCTGTGGTGGGCAGAGCATAGATAG